AGTCATACATGTATCGTACTGTACTGACCGAATCGACGAGTTTTTAGATGACTACGAAAACCAATGCAGCTCGCGTCTTCTCAGCTTGTAAGGCTCGTATGTCATCGTACGAAAACGTGTACTGGAGGTAGCGGCAAGCTGCCTTTTGCTCCACAAGCCGAAAGGTAATGAGAACACCGTCAGCTTTCTCCATCATTTCTGTTTAGTAAACGTGAATGAAAATCTGGTCATCACCGTTGAAGCTGTCAATTAGCGAAATCCTTCGATGCAAATCCCAACAACGTGCCGTATGGCTGTAAACGCGAGCTGAGTGCGATGTAAGTTTCTCACTCGCACATGGTATCCTACGTGTGCTGTCATCGTCGCAGGTTGTAGTATGGAGAACTAAGACACTGTCACCCTGAAGCGTCTTTCACTGGCGCGAAGCAGTCCAGTGCGTCGAAATCCGACCAGGAAAATAACTTGGTGTCATTCCGTTTTCTCGGGCCATCGAGCCTTCGTGGAGTCTATGGTGGACGGTCCATAGATACACGGCAAACACGACGATGTTGGTAGATATGAAAAAGGACCCCGTGATTCAAACTTTAGGCGAAAATGAGCACAGCACCAGGGAGGGATAAGAACGCCGTGCCTAGAATCAAGAGGGTGACTAGTCATCACTTCTTGTACATCCACTTGGGGCCATGATGTTCTTGGGGAAGACCACTGCGCAGGCGGTAGCTGCAGCCTGGGATTTGAACACTTCGCGTCTTTCAGAGGATCCCTGCGGCGAGGATCCATGCGCCATCACGGGAAAAACCTGTCCACGATGTCGCTGTTGACGTTCAGGTAAAAAGTCCACCGTTGTGCGCGGCTATGAAGACCGAGACTTGACGACGAGGCAACTCTGGTTCAGCGAAGCGGGTCACCGGCTTGCCTGACAGGCTTGCAAGTAACGCGCGTAACGCAATAGGCCAACTCCAGTCAACGCACGCGAGCGAAAGACATTTTCACTGCTCATTCCTCAATCTGCAAGCTGTCGAGCACACGCCGCCACACTAGGGAGCAAAATGGACCAGACTGCCAGTCATCAGCTCCTTGTGGAGGCCAACAACGCTCTGGTGCAGGAGCTCAAGGCCACAGTTGAACGCATGCAGGACGTCGAGGTGGAGCTAGACGACGTGCAGTTGGCGCTGAAGGAGGACCGCGAGGAGGTCGAGACATACACGGATGACATCGCCGACTGCTGGGACCGCATCAACGCCATCGACGAGTTCGTGCGCGACCTCGAGGCTGGCAACGTTCCAGCGATGGACGACGTGACGACGATCGTGTCGAACATGGCAGAAGAGCGTGAGGAGGAGGAAGCTATGCTGACACGACTGGGTGAAGTTCGTGCGTGCCACGAGCAGCAAATACAGCAGATGAACGCGAAATTGACGACGCTGCAAGAGGAGAAACTGATGTTGCAGAAGAAGAGTGCTCAGATCTGGTGCGTCTTAGGCCGCACCGGCGTCTTTGAGTTGGCGATGCGGCGTCTTAGTGAACGCACCATCAAAACGGTGTAGAATCCACACGAAGAGAACACTCGATATTTATTAGCCCGCGACGTTAGATTGTTTAGTTTTGAGTGTGTAGTAGGTACAATGCAGCTAAATACATGTAGTTTTCCTATCTACTTACTTGAAGTACTTCGTATAGTACGTCATTTAGCAGCCACGAGTCTGCGCCGCTTGATTCATCGAGAGTATTCAACACAGTATCGTCTTTTGTAGTGGCTGACTTCGAACTTCATGCAGGCTCCATCGTACATGTAGCTCATTGACGTCGCGTTGTCTACATCGTTCTTAGAAGCATCGCCTTTACCAGCAACCAGCTGGACTTGCTGCTGGCAGGCAGTAAGCATAGAGTGCAAATGTCAACAAAACCGAGAGCTTGCTGTTGCACATTCGACTTACATCACAAGTTGCGATCCAGCTGAGCGATGCAAATGCTGGTGCATGTACAGGTGAACTTGTCCACGTTAAGCTCATATACCGTGATCATATCGTACTTGATGGAATTTGATAACTACAATGTGATGATAAAAAAATAAAAGTTAGTCAACTGAGGTCAGTTTTGCAATGAGACCACATCGAAATTTTCTAAGCTGAAATCAGTGAGTGCTGAAGAAACCACTTAATCCTACAGCCCGAGGGCGTGAGGCAGCTCATGAACGAGTATCACCAGCAGACTGAGGCCTATGTGCAGCAGTTCGGGCATCACCTTTCTAGATGTATCCAGAGATGACGTTAAGACCACCGAGGACCGCGTGCACGCGCTGTTCGTGCAGGCTGCGACGATAGCCAGTTCTCGGCATCAAAAGGAGATGCAGTCGCGACTCGAGTGTCAACAGGGCAACGATTTGCTCACCGAGTGGCTCGCAGTCAGCTGTAGCTACAATGGTGAGACGTCCATGGCCTTCGCGGGGTTACTGCTGCTGCTGTTGCAGCAATGTGCCAGGCATTTTAGTTCAGTGGTTAAGAAGCTGGCAAAGTACAGAAGTACTTAGTATGATAAAAGTAAAGAAGAACAAAGCTCTACTGCAGAACGCCGTCAACCATTGTCGAGAGAAATCAATTTCTAGCTAGTCACAGTCAAACCTTTGCAGTATTTCTTCATCATTATTTATTATTTTGTAAAAACCCACTTCAAGTCCGCATTTGTGCTTATCGTCTCAATCGCCAAGAGGCAGACCTATCTGCGCCAGCTTAAGACGTAGAGGTGGAAGGTTATCTGGGCCTTAACATGATCAACTTGCCATACTTGAACAAGTTGTTCTATGCGCCGTATTAGACAAGGGAGGTTAATCTGTACTTTTATTATTCGACTCCTCCCGACGTAAGAATCAGACATTATTACTTGAAAGTAATTCAGTGTAGTGGTGGAGACGCAATTTCAAAGATGTAGATGTAGTGACTGGGATTCTGAGGAACCCCTCATTCAAATATCTGGTCAGCTGGTCCTATCTGTCGCAGTATGGAGAATGCAAAATCTACAACAACCACATCCGAGATTGTAAAATAAATGAACGTGTTGATTTGCACGGCAACTATTTGACGGACCTTTCTTTTAAATTCAACGGTCGAACATAGATCCCAGTCGAGGGTTATCCGGAATTATCTCGACAATAGGAGCTGTAGAGTTCTTGTCGCCACTCGACTATAAGTGTGATTCATCGTATCCTTTACTACGAAACCTTAACATAACCGTAACTCAGAAAAATGGAGGAGAACTGCATGGACGTCTGCGCCGTTGACTACTATGTTGTGAGTTGCAGGAGTAAAAACAGTAACTGCTCGACGTCACGAAGTCCAGACGAAGAAAGTCATGTGTTACCTACCATCCGTCACTTCAATCAACAGACTTGATAATTGCCTCAAATTATAGGTATGCCGAATCTAACAAGACCAACATCAAATTCTATTCACGAGAGTTAGGCCGACAAACTCCCTACTCCCAAATGAACTTACACAACGGAAATATGCTGCACCGATGAGATAGTGGCTTTAAAGCTACAGTATTTGCAGCTTAGTAGAACTCGATCTTGTTCTTGTTGAAGACGCAGTTCTTGGACGGACCCTTGCTCGTGACCTTGGGCTCCTTGCCGTTCGTGGACGACGTGGTCTGGCACACGGCGTTGGCGCCCTTGCTCGTGTGCACGTGGATGTCGTCGGTGAAGGTGGCCACATCGCCGTTATTGGCGTTGACAGTCACGAGACTCACCTTGGGGTTGTAGCCCCACACGTGGTTGAGCGCCACGGTGCGCTTGATGTTGCCACACGTGCCGCACGAGCGGTAGAGCTTGCCGAAGTTCTCGGCGTAGAAGCCGTTGATGTTGACGTGTCCGTAGCCGTTGTGCTGGATGATCTTGTCGTCCGCGTTCTTGGCGCCGCATGCAAGCACATGGGTGATGCTGTTCTTGTTGCCGCCCTTGATGCTCAGAGCGTCTTCGCAGACGTCCTCCCACCAAACATTCTCGACGGTGCAGTCGTTGTCGTCGCAGTGCACACCCTCGCGCTGGTCGGGTCCGATGATGACGTTCTTGAGCTTGGCACCGGGCTCGAGCTTGAAGACAGCGTCACGCCAGCCGCCCTCAGACTGACCGCTGCACTTGATGTCGGAGCGCTGGTAGGTCTTCATGCCACCGTCGAAGGTCTCGCCCTTCTTGATGACCTTGACTTCTTTGTATCGGACGCTGCCCTTGGAGGTGGGCCAGGCGGAGGAGACGGAGGCGGTGGCGGCGAGCACGGCGCAAAGGAGTGAGATGAAGCGAGCCATGGTTTGTAGTGGTGGGTCGATGAAGAGCTTGGTAGGATGCTTGAGGCGAAGGAAGCAAATTGCAGAATGAGGAAGGGGGCGATCAGCAAATTGAATCGGACAGAGTATAGCTCCAGGAGAACCAAGTGCTCACAGACCACTACACTACGCTTTCTTTACGTGTTATATTACTAACCTGTAGGGTGTGCATTGATATGCACGAACAGTAAACTTCTCGGTTGTCGAAAACGCGATTATTTTTATGTACGGAGTAGGTGGATGGCGTTGGATCAATGAATCCCACTGAGACTTGATACCAACGACTCGTTGAACGGCGACACACTTCTGCTTCCCCTTCTGTGCGATTTACATTTCTCTATTTTAGTTGCTGTAAATGGCAGATGTTGGAAGTAGGTTGCATAAAGCTCGTTTGAAATTGTCTCGAAGACTGTCCTCCTTTCCTGCAAACTTGGGGCAAGACATCCACAGCGGCAGGAGTACATGTAATCTACAATGGATGACCACACTCGCTCACGACATCTTTGAGACGACAACGATTCTACAAGCTGGCCTTGCGCCGAAAGCATCTGCAAGTCTGTAGGATCCACTGTCACGAGGATGTTGTGTTGAAGTGAGCGTTGGCGTTTTTATGATCATCTTCAAATCGCACGACTACCGAATCAGCTTTCTATAGTCGACGGTCGACTACAGAAATCCTGTCGATCCTCAGCATACATGTACCATTTGCAGATTCGAGTCAGTAAACCAGTGAAATGGCGGTCAGGCGGTTTGCTGGAAAATACGTCGAAGCGCACGCACCCGTGAAAATGTAAAAGCGATCAGATTAGCAGTGCTGGGTGATCCGAACTAACCCCGTACAGTAATCGTGGCATGATCAACGCATTTCACCATTATATTGTCACCGCACATGGAGTAATTCAACTTGTCCGAGTGTAAGTGACTTCAATATTTGACTCCTTTTCATTATTCGCAACTCCGGAAACTGAAGTTTTCCACTTCCAAATTCTTGGTATTTTATAATGACTTCGACTAACGCTAGTTTAATTTTTTTTTTTAGCGTTAGTCGAAGCCAGTACTACCAGCTTTAATAAGCAATAAATATGGTAGTATTTTAGTCGATCTGGCGGTGGAATGCTTGGCTTTCGGGTTTCTTTTTGTAAAGCAGTTCAGTCTCTTAAAAAGTACATTGGAGTTTCATTATGTCCTGCAAGTAGTAGGGACTTGGCATACCCTTTTGACGTGAGGATTCCCTCATGTGTACGCTGCTCGAGAAGCTCCCCAAATATCGTAAAACGAGCAGAACCACTGCGAATCTACAATTGAAATACGAGCATACTATGCGTACATACGCTCCTTTTTTTTGCTGTACGTTCGATACCAACCCCAATATGGTGAAGGCAGTGACTGGCACAGGGCCACGAAATAAACGCATAAACAGCTGGAACCGTTGCAATCCTTTTGTTGGCAGCCTCACCCCAATTGATTCGTCTACGATCTGCGATAGAGGTCGACTGTGTGCAATCCCACTCGATCAGCAGATCGACTCTAACAGCGAGATGACTAAAAGCCCACTCTCTCCTCCTTCTAGACCCCATGAGATTTTTTTTTACAAACTTTCAACTTGCTGATCGCCCCCTTCCTCATTCTGCAATTTGCTTCCTTCGCCTCAAGCATCCTACCAAGCTCTTCATCGACCCACCACTACAAACCATGGCTCGCTTCATCTCACTCCTTTGCGCCGTGCTCGCCGCCACCGCCTCCGTCTCCTCCGCCTGGCCCACCTCCAAGGGCAGCGTCCGATACAAAGAAGTCAAGGTCATCAAGAAGGGCGAGACCTTCGACGGTGGCATGAAGACCTACCAGCGCTCCGACATCAAGTGCAGCGGTCAGTCTGAGGGCGGCTGGCGTGATGCTGTCTTCAAGCTCGAGCCCGGTGCCAAGCTCAAGAACGTCATCATCGGACCCGACCAGCGCGAGGGTGTGCACTGCGACGACAACGACTGCACCGTCGAGAATGTTTGGTGGGAGGATGTCTGCGAAGACGCTCTGAGCATCAAGGGCGGCAACAAGAACAGCATCACCCATGTGCTTGCATGCGGCGCCAAGAACGCGGACGACAAGATCATCCAGCACAACGGCTACGGACACGTCAACATCAACGGCTTCTACGCCGAGAACTTCGGCAAGCTCTACCGCTCGTGCGGCACGTGTGGCAACATCAAGCGCACCGTGGCGCTCAACCACGTGTGGGGCTACAACCCCAAGGTGAGTCTCGTGACTGTCAACGCCAATAACGGCGATGTGGCCACCTTCACCGACGACATCCACGTGCACACGAGCAAGGGCGCCAACGCCGTGTGCCAGACCACGTCGTCCACGAACGGCAAGGAGCCCAAGGTCACGAGCAAGGGTCCGTCCAAGAACTGCGTCTTCAACAAGAACAAGATCGAGTTTTACTAAGCTGCAACTGCATCTCTCGTAGCTCTAAGCGATACTAAATCGCAGTTGTTGCTGTTTATTTCAGTAGCGTAAATTCATGTGAAGTAGGCGATGAAATCCGTCTACCCAACGATCGTGAATAGAATTTGATGTTAACTTTCGGTTTAGTGTTCAAGTTGTTGTACCAAGTCCCAGAGGTGCAGTCGATCGGCAAGTGGATCACCAAGTTAAAAAAATTGTAGCACATAACCTGTAGCTGGGTGACTAAGAGCAATGCAGCTAGCGTTTGACATCGATTATTTATTGACTTAAGCTACGCATGACATTCTACTTCCCACGGCTACTTCTTTTCGTCGCTCAGTAGTACTCGATGGCGTCGGCGTCGTACACGCAGTTCTCCGACACACCCGTGCTGGTCACCTCCGGTTCGTCGCCGTCCGTGGCCGCCGTGGTTTTGCAAATCACGATGTCGTCGTTTCCTTCATCCGAGTGGACATGGATATCATCCGTGAAGGTGGCGACGTCGCCGTTATTCGAGTTCACGGTGACCAGAGCGTTCTCGGGATTGTTGCCCCACACATGGTTCAGGTAGACCGTGCGCTTGATGTCACCGCACGTGCCACACGAACGGTAGAGCTTGCCGAAGTTTTCGGCGTAGAAGCCGTTGATGTTGACGTGTCCGTAGCCGTTGTGCTGGATGATCTTGTCTTCAGCATCCTTGGCACCGCAGGCAAGGACGTTAGTGACGCTGTCAGCGGTTCCGCCCTTGACGCTCAGTGCGTCCTCGCAGACGTCCTCCCACCAGACATTCTCCAGAGTGCAATCGTGGTCGTCGCAGTGGACACCCTCACGCTGGTTCTTACCGATAATGACGTTCTTGAGTGTAGCACCGGCTTCGAGTTTGAACATGGCGTCGCGCCAGCCACCCTCGTCCTGCTCGGCGCAGGTGATGTCCGAACGTTGATAGGTCTTCAGACCACCGTCAAAGGTTTCGCCAGCAGCAACGACGTACACTTCGCTGTACTCGACATTGCCGGTACTGGTGGGCCACGCAGAGACGACAGCGGCGGAGGTGGCGATTGCGAGGGTGCAGAGGGAGGAGAAGACTTGGACCATGGTAGAGAGTTGGTTTGAGACTTGGAGTAGAGTGCTCGGAGTTTGGAAAAACTGTAAATGAGTGATGACATCTCCTGCGACTTTGGGTCGAGGGCGTTCTGGTTCTCGAAGGCGCTAGTGAAGACTTAATGGACGATGTGACTAGCATCTACAGCTGTTCGTACGGTTTGGGTCAAGGAATCAAGAAATTTACGCTGCTCGTCGGAGTAGTTGGTGCCCGTGCTTGCCATATCTCGAGACCGCGCGCTCCTCTTCAGATGATCAGCAGTCTACATCACCTTGACGCTGTTTGGGGCTCCAATTTGTTCGAGGGCGTGTACAATACTAGTTACGAAGATTCAACTGCTGGTGCTCAAACGATCCGATGAACTGGGCTAGTTTAGCAGGCAGAACTCAAGACCTTTCATCGCGACACCGTCGGCCTTTTCTGCCCAGCATTTCGCTAGTGCGACTTCGTACTGTCCATCGATATTGATCACGACGTGGCCCCCTTCTCAAGCTGATGAAGTGAACACATTGAAATGCCAATTTCCTCGTAGGTAGTGGCACATGTGTGTGCTTCGCGAGTATTTTTTTTTATTAGAGCATAGAGTCTTAGCTAAATGAAAAGTTAGTCGATGATGCATTTGCTGGTCGAGCGATTAGTGCCATTTTATTTAGTCGAGGCGACTAAATTCCAGATTAAAACGTCGTGAGGATGATCACGATGTAACAATGACAAGCTGCACATGGCAGTGAGGAAGTCGACTGTCGAAGGATATGCTGAGCACGGCCTGCAATGTCAGGCGGAGCGACAGCCACGGCTGCTTTTGAGGACTTCCTTAACCTCGAGTCAGCCAAATTCTACTGCTGAAGAAAAAAATATAGATGCTGAGGGAAGGATTTTTATAAAAAAAAATTCGCCTCAAGCCTCTTGCTATTAATCTCGACAACTTACGCTTTCGAAGATCCTGTCTTCGTCGTAACGTAAATGTCACGGTGGCGGCCGTACTTGATTCCCCAGTACGTGAACCCCACGGCTGCAGCAAGAACAGCGGCCAGAGAGAAAAATACAAGCGCCTCAAATTGGCGTGGGTCATGGAAAACCACGCCCGATAGCTGAATCAGTATGAAAAAGAACTGGTACGTCGCTGTCTGCATCGAGTTGATGGCTCCGCGTTGGTTTGGAGCGATCCACTCCTGCATAATCTGGGTCTCAGCCAGGTCGGTACTCCAGAGCCAAGCACGCGAAATCACCACGCAAACCAGCATAACGTAGTCGGATACGACGGACTCGCCCGTGACGAGGAAAGAAACCAGTACTGGCACCAAACACAGCCAAAAGATCCACACACTCAACACAACAACGCGCTCCACTCGCTTCATACTGTTCCGCAGACAAGGGAAGATCAGCGTTCCCACGAGTCCAGTCACAGCTCCAGCGCCACGACTGGCACCCAAAAGCGCGTTAGAAATTCCACGCCACTTTAGATATGCAGTGTTCAACGCTCCCCCACTAAGGATCGTCATGTACAATGCACAAAACGAAAAACTAACTAGGAATACCGGATGTTTCACGTAGTTGGACCACATTTTGGCGTACCGGGCGATAGTACCCAATTCACTGGAAGTCGGAGACGTCACCTTCTCCCCCTTGCTATCGACTTCATGCTCCTCTTCCACAGTTGCACGTACAGCCAACTCAGGCACGAGGTGGTAGATGTCGTGGGTCATACAATACTCTAGCGGAGTGGAGATTAAATTCCAAAGACCCACCACTGCTGCACCAACCATAGCTCGAGTAGTAGCATCGCCGCCTGTGAAGTCCACAATGAAACCAAAAGCCATTGGACCCAGAATGTTGCAGCTCAGATCGATACGACGCATGGTCGTGTTGAGTTTGGCCAGAGCCGTTGAATTATCCGGTCCAGCGATGACCACGACCCAGTCGCGTTCAATACCCAAAGTCTGTGCGTCGTTCAGCACCTGCCCCACTCCTCCGCACACCAACGTGCCTGCAAACATCAGTATCAAAGACCACGTCCACTCCGGCTTGTGCACTCCATCAGCGTTCGTCACGAGTAAGATCAAGCCTAAAATGATGGAGTTGACTATGATCATCAAGTTTTCCAGAATGATGGCGTACTTCATGGCAGTCCAGCGATTCCAGCGGTCCAAATGATGCCCCACGGTTGGGATCATGAAGATGCACACAATGTACATGGCTAGTGAGAAGGCTGCACTGGGTAGCAGGGTATCCACGAAGATATCCATGAACAAAATGGGCACCGCGAAGCCCCATATACGGTCTCCCCAAGCAGACAGCAGGTGACTGGCGTACAGATACGTGATCACTCGTCTCGGGCGCTTGGTCGTTGCGCTTGTTGCATCGCTACTCAGTAGATGCTGCTGCTCTCCGTTGGTTGTATCGTGTGCGTCCAGCCACGCTGTGATCAGACACGCACCGACGGGCACTAGTGTCACTGAACTGAGGATAAGCGTCACCATGTTGGCGGGCGGGGACATGACGCAGGCGGCTTCGAAGTCTCCGACGCACGCAGCAGTGTCGAGTGCGAGCAGGGCGCTGATGAGGCCTAAGACGATGCAGACCAGCACGGTGGACTCCATCTTTCGTCGGATCTGTGGGATTGAGCTCAAAAACGAAAGGGTTCTAGTGGCGAAGGGATGCGGATACGAGTGCTGATTGGTGGTAGTGCATTTGGGTGGTTGCACCGCAGTCTGACTCTATACAGTAACGTCGAGGATGTGTATTCACTGTGGCATGTTGCTTCGAGCCAATGGCAATAAGTTTGGATTGCGATCGTCACCGATGAACGCATTAGCCGGATCGAGTTGCGTAACTGCTTGCGTCGACGAATTACTGGTTGTAATCAAAATCTGATCGATGTCAGTAAACCCGGTTACCAATGTACTAGCTGTTGCAGCCTGCTCGGCCACCAGAACTTTGCTTATCTTGAGTATGTTGGTTCTCTCTAACCATCCAGTATTTTTCGCTACCAAGCTCTCTTTGGTTGGTCACAGGAACTTGCCCTTAGTTACACGAACAATCAGCGACTTGTGTTGCTTATAGGTATCCGTTTCTAACACAACCAGGTGGCTACATTCCGACACTATTTACCATCATTCCGAAGGTCTCCGATATCTCGAGCATGAGGCGTTCTGCTCGTCTCTTGGTCGCCGCCTCCCGAAGCGTTAAGACCGAGATCTCCGGCGCCAGTGCCCTCGCCACCTCTTCCTCCGCCCTCTCCGCAGCGTCTGCTGCAATTTCTCCGTCGAAAACCATCGTGAAGGCGGAGAAATCCAACTTCGACGACTGGGTTTCTCTATGCAGCACTGAGGAGCTCTCCTGCGCGCTCACACTGGAATCCGGACAGGTTTTCGCTTGGCGGAGACACCCAAAACAGTCAGCAACGTGGTTGGGAGTTGTAGGACATCGAGTGTTCGCACTACGGGAACGCGACGGCATTGTACAGTTCAGATGCCTCCATCCATCTGATTGTACGTAAGATCACTTAGACTTCTTAGATCTTCGATAGCTCTGACCTATTACTGCTGTGTAGTGCCTGATCAGGAGGGAGTCGATGAGTTATCGCACTACTTCCGCCTGGACGTGAGTGGTACTATGGATAGAATGCAAGGTAGCGCCCTGCTAACGTAATTTTGTAGACACCTGCCGATCCGTTGTATGAACGCTGGACCAAGCCCACGGATCGGATGACAGAGATCATCTCCAGACTGCGAGGCTTGAGGATCGTACGACAGGATCCTGTGGAGTGTTTGTTCTCGTTCATCTGCTCTTCGAACAACAACATCACTCGAATTCAGGGAATGGTGGACAAACTAAAGGCGACGTACGGAGACTTGCTCTACAAACTAGGCGAAGGAGAAGAACAGCAGCAGCCATTCTATGCGTTCCCGTCGGTTGACACGCTGGCTGCCAAGTGTGAAGAGGCCACGCTACGAGCGCTGGGATTTGGATACCGTGCGGCCTTCATCGTCAAGACCGCCAAGCAGCTACAGGAACTCGGTGGGGCCTCGTATCTCGATAACATTCGTGACACCAAGAACGTTCGACAGAGTGGAGAGAAGGAAGTCTCCTACCATGCGTATCAAGACGAACTGATGGTTTTTTCTGGTGTTGGACGCAAAGTCGCCGACTGCGTTGCTCTCTTCTCACTGGAGAAACTGGAGGCGATCCCCGTCGACACGCACGTGTGGCAGATTGCATGTCGGGAGCTGGATTCAACGCTCAGCGACCGAAAAAGCATCACGCCAAGTGTGTACCGCATGGTAGGTGACCTGTTCCGGACCCGCTTCGCACCTCAAGCTGGTTGGGCCCACAGTGTCCTGTTTGCTGGTGATCTATCGGCTTTCAAGCCAACCATTCCGGGTGTCGAGAAGAAACCCAAGGAGAAGCAAAAGAGTTCCAAACGCAAATTCAAAAAAGCTTCTTTGAAAGTAACCACGAAGCGGAAGACCGGCGCTACAGTACCGCTAACCTAGATGATACTGGTTAAGTAAACACACTTGAATTGTATTAAACTGCGTGTGACACCTGCGAGCAAGTTGATGATGGAGTGTGCTGATTACGAGAAAACTAAGATGTTAATCAGCTTAATTGAACACACCCATGGTCAAGGTACCGATGGATTTTGTATCCAGTATTTGCAGCCATGTCTGTCCACTATTTAGCTAGTGCTCACAATCTCATTTTCACATTAGTCGCAGCATGACAATGACGAAGCTTTCCTCTGTACTAGCCTTCTTCCTCCTTACTACGGCTTCCGGCTCTACGGCCGAGGAGAATATCCGTTCACCCCGACGACTGCAGACGTATACGCAGCCGTCCGACTATGTTAATCTCATGCTTGAACGTGTGAACTCGGAGCGTGCAGCTCAAGGACTCTCTGCCCTCTGTACGAACAGCAAACTGCAAGAAGCGGCTCAGCGCCACTCCGACGACCAAGCAGCTAACAACTTTATGGACCACACCGGATCCGACGGCTCACGGATGTCAGAACGAGTCACCGATGCAGGGTACGACTGGCGCGGTCTCGCTGAGAACGTTGCCGCTGGACAAGTCGACGTGACTGAAGTTATGGACGCGTGGATGAACTCCGAAGGCCATCGCCATAATATTCTTGGAGATTACACCATGCTGGGCACAGCGTACGCCTACACTCCTGACGGACAGTACAACCACTTTTGGACACAAGACTTCGGACGCAGCGACACCGAGCAGTGCGACGACGGCAGTACCCCTACTACGTCCACTACAAGCAACGCAAGCAGCTCCGACCAGACCTACAATTCTGCTGATTCAGGCGACAACACCATGTCGGCTCCCACTCCACGAGGCTCTCGAGGAACGTCGTCGTCCTCCTTGGCATCAACTCCAGCAGTTTCAATAGCGATGGCAGTTATGCTGCTTCTAAGTGGTCATATCTAACATAAAGCAACTTAAAACAGCATAAGCGTTTCTTAAGCTGTTTCTTCTATACTGTAGTTATCCTGTAGCCACGTTGAAGACGACCGTTTCAGTCAATATTCTCATGCTAAGTGCGAAAAAGGGTTGTCCGTCATAATCAAAGTCGTCGTCGTCTCTAACGATGCCGGGAACATGCTCCGCTACGACGCACACGGGGGCGCGCTGTACGTCTCCTGCTACAGACTCTAGCGGCCAATGCTCGCACCACGCTCGGATGGCTCGCATCATGGCGCTCGCGCCCAAGTCCAAGGCTCTTACGTCCGTGTCAACGACTTCTAGCGTCTCGTCAGCGGACGTTCCGTCGCTCTCTCCATCGTCTTCTTCCTCCTCCTCTTTCGACATGTCCCCTTTGAACTCCACTCTGTCCGGAGACAATAGTCTCCAATGGCTACCAGGAGAGACAGTGGTGCACTCCGTCACCTGCTCCTTCGTGTTCCCCGGCGCTCTGACGCTTCCAGAAATCCCCGGAACGCTCTACATCACGTCGTTTAGACTCCGATTCGAGCCCCAGAGCGCGTCGTTAAGAACCATTGGGGGATTCCACAGACTACTGGACACTGCGCTTCGAGGCATGCCGCGAGCAGCGGTGGCCAGACTCTCGTACCCTCAAGCGACTGTATCAGCGTCGAGGTCCATCAACGCGTACACTCCTACGAGACTTGTGGTTAAATTCAAGGACTTACGCTCATGGACACTAGGCGGAGATGTGACGAGACTACTGCCAGCATTAAATCGACACGCTTATGTGGACACCCCGCTGAATTTGTTCGCGTTTACGTCGATCGGAGCGATGCAGGAGGATCTCCAGGGTCACGCGCTCTATGATCTGTATGAGGATTTTGCCAGGATGGGCGTGGCACTGAGAGATGGTAGCAGTCCCTACCGAGTGACGGAGCTGAATGCCTCATTCTCCATGTGTCCGACTTATCCTAGAGAGCTGGTAGTGCCAGCAGCCGCCAGCGACTCAGAAGTAGGGGCTGTAGCCTCGTTCCGATCCAAAGGGAGACTACCGGTCTGTAGTTATGTACATGCACAGAACGGCGCTGCATTATGGCGATGTGCACAGCCCAAACGCGGCATTCTACACACACAGAACCCCGCAGACGAGCAGTATTTGCTTCATATCGCTCGAGCGGCTTCTAGTTCGTATTCTGGATCACCGACACGTAGGATTTGGATCGCAGATTGCCGGCCAGAACTCAATGCACGCGTCAATAACTTGACCGGAGGTGGCACGGAGAGCGGGAACCTTGCACATGCTCGAGTGACTTTCTTGAATATCGGGAACATCCACGCTATGCGTGAGAGTATTGAAGCTGTACGTGGACTAGGAGGCTTCACGGCTCCAACGAACAATACGGAGTCGATGGATCTCTCGTGGGGGTCACGTGTTGAAGACACAAAGTGGCTCTCGCATGTGCGACGTGTGTTGAGTGGGGCTCTGCAGGTGGCACGTGCGATGGAGGCGCAAGCCACGACTGTCGTTGTCCACTGCAGCGATGGTTGGGACCGTACAGCTCAGCTCTGCGGCCTTGCACAGCTGCTGATTGATGCTCATTACCGTACGCGACGAGGATTCCTAGAGGTGATTGAGAAGGAGTGGGTGCGCGCAGGACACAAGTTCCAGGACCGCGTAGCTCCGGGTAAAGCAGAGGACGATGACGACCAACAAGCGCCGATCTTCCTGCAATTCTTGGATTGTGTGTGGCAGATTATTCGTCTCTACCCGACGTACTTTGAATTTAATGAGCGGATGCTCGAGGCGATGGCAGATGCACTATTCTCTGGGAGATATGGCACGTTTCTAGGTAATTGTGAGCGAGAACGCACGGCGTGGAGTGTGCGGGAGCGAACGCCGTCGCTCTATGCGCTCTTGCTTCAAGGCGACCGATTTGTGAACCCGTTCTACCGTGCCGGCAGCACAGGGGCGTTGTTACCTGATGCGCCAGCCGTGCTGCGTCAAGTCACGCTGTGGACATCGTACTACTTCCGAGGAGCTCCGTTCCCAGCAGCACCGACAGGCAATCCAACCCCACCGATGTACGCAATCGATAGTGGAGAGGAAAATGCGTCGCCTATTGGTGCGCAGGAAGATATGGAGAATGCCATGGCGGCAGCATTGCGAAGGATCCGTGACTTGGAGGAAGAACTTCGTGATGCGACGTCGGAACCTCCTACGCCACCGAGACCGGCGCCGGTGTCGTACCCGCCATTGTATTCGCCCACTACAAAAGCCGATTTATCGCGCATCCAGCAGAATTCGCAGCCAGAGGCATCAACTCAGCAAAACACGTCGAATGGATATCATTCTAGCAGCAGCAGTAGTAATGATGGAAGCGCGTACGCTGCATCCACGACTTCCATGTCGCCAGCTCCGACGCCGACACTATCCCCAGCACCGGTCTTGGTCCAGTCACTTGCAGAAGCAACTACGTGGACATGCAGCCTGTGCACCAAGACAAACGCGGCCGACGTGCTTCAATGCGTCGTATGTGGTCGCACACCGCGGTAGACATCAAAAAGAGTAAGTAAAAATGCATGATGATTCATTCTTCTGTCCCTAAATATGATCCTATAGACACTCCTGCTCGTGTTCGTGTTCAGTTTTGCGTAAGCGCTTGACGCAGTTCTGAAGCACATAATGCACTTTGTCTGGGAAGTGATCGTCCAGCATGGTACGCCCAATGCGAATCTTGCTGAACTGACCTTCTGCTGCCCATGCAAAGCGATAGTTGGTGCGTGCAGTGCAGCAAATACCTCCTCCTCCAGGACGGCAACACACCCAACAACCTGCTGCTCCTTTGGCTCGCACTACCCGCTTGAGATGTACTACACGGCCAGGGATAGTTAACTCGTGGATCGGCTCGGACTCTTGGATACGCTGCAACATCGTACGATAATTCGACAAGTGAGCGATAAATGGCGAGCGTACTCGCTCCCTGGTCTCGTTGTCGTCGTCAAACGCCGTGTGCTCATCCGAGCTTCTGTGCAGCAGTTCGTCAGGGTTACGCCACGAGATAACCTGTCGCAGGATAGCCGCCTTGTTCACTTTGCTCCTTCCAATCAGGTCCAGTACGTTGTCCCGCAAGGCCTCGGCCGACGTGAGTGATGACCGTGCGATGATGTCGTCACCCACGACGACCGAGTACGTGAAGGCCGCACATCGAGACGCCAGTCCAGGAGACATGGTGCAGCCTGGAGGACTGAAGGCGAAGCATCGAAGCTGAGGATACTTGGCACGCAGCATCACCGACAACAGACAAGCCGTTCCTGCTCCAAGTGAGTGACCAGTGAGCACGAGGCCGTAGTCGTGGTACGCCCCACGTTCGCACACGTTAACGCCGTGCGTGACAATAGTCGCAGTAGATTTCTCGTCAAACAGCATCTCCAAGATGCCAAGACGATTAAGCTCCAGATAAATCGACTCAGCGCACGTGAGGAAGCCCTGGTGAGCGTATTCACCAGAGCCATCACAACCCCAGCGATCCGCCACGTCGTTCATCGACATCCCGTACGCGATAGCGTCAGTAAGACAGTCTTCCAGTGATAAAGTGCCGCGGATCGCAATAACAACCTCCTTACGTTCATGATCCAGCATCACTGCGAAGGCTGGTTGATACACGGAGTTGCGGAAGCTCGCGTACACGATGTCGTCGCTGCGGATCTTCGTTTCAAGCTGCAACGCTGTCTGGCCCAAGTGGAACCAATTGTCACCATGCACATATGATCTATTGCGACGCAGACAAGAGAAAGCCAGACTGAACGTCCCGCTCCATGGATGTGACCACACGTACAGCATCCAGCCGTAGATCCCGATAGCGTATTTGGAGAAATGCGCTAGCTCCTTCAACTTTTCAGTCAGCTCCACATCATTTAGGTGCGGATCCGTTGGATGGTAGTAGAAGGGCTTACTCGACATCTCGAACCTCGCATCGTCTGACGTAGACGGAATATCGATCGATACCAACCGATTTGCTTCGTCTCCGTCCACCGTCGAGCTGCTCGCTGGTGCTGTAGCAGAGGGTTTCGTCGTTGGTGGAGTCTTGTCGCCCATTAAATTCATCTTACTCGTGCTGGCTCGAATCCTCGCCCGGATTTTCCCAAGCGTTTCTTCCTCTTCTTCATCTCCTTCTCGGTGAGGAGAAGTAGCGATGACTTCGTGATGGTCTTCGTATGCCTGAACAGCTGCTAGTAGGATGAAACCTGCTACAATATCCGAAATAACAAGGTCCGGACTACCGTAGAACAGCCTCGAAAACACCTTGGCCACCACAGACATACTGTCATGACTAGTCCCGGCGCCGCCGAATAAATTGCACGTGAAGCAGCGCATGCACATACAGCAACGTGTGCACCGCTGCTTCCACAGTCGCTGACTGTGCGGCACATACACGTCCGAGCTCGGTACTTCTCGATCTACGTCTGCAACACAACACAACGTCATCTTCCTGTCCCCACTCGGCCTTTTAGGCCGCAACGTACCGTCCAACAAAGATTGACGTTCAGAATCAACAGTATTACCATAAGGATCCAGCGTACTGGAGACCGGAGGCTTCTCCTGATTGATCACTTCTTCCACTTGTGTGTCGTGCAGTATGCAAAGTCCGAGTGTGAAGGTGAAGCTCACTTCTGCTACTAAGAATCCGCCCACAGCCTAATAAAAATCCTCAATTAGATCCCATATTTGAGTACATTCTATAAATAGAAATGCCTCACCAATACAAACCGCGCATCAGGACGACAGATGTCTCGATAGTACCAGCAGCAGACTCCTGCGATCCCGTAGCCGAAGAGAAGAATTGACCAGAGAGCATGTACCTGCAGTATCCTGGGCATAAGCACGCGACGCTCGTGGTCCACGATAGTTCCTTTGGCCGACACTTGCATGATCATGAGGTAGATGCAGCCGCGGAAGAACAACAGCGGCGCCGCACCCAATATGTACCAGAATGGCAGTCCATTGTCGTCCAGCGAAGTGCTCGAGCATCTTCGCCACAGACTCGCGTACAGAACGCACAGCAGCGCCAACGGAAGCTGGTACAGCATCAGGAACAGCGCGGGGCAGTACAAGTCATCGCTGCCCACCACGCGACTGCGGCGCCCGAACACCTCCAGCGCCGGCATCCTCAAACAAGCTCAACTGTAAATTCGACTATGCGAAATGCGGGACAAGAAATTTGACCACCTTTTTCAACCAATGAGAGACGACCTTGAAAATAAAAGAACAATAGTATCCATTTTGAAAACAATTTGTGACCATAATTTTTATCCGATTCCAATAGTTATTTTGTTGCTTCGTTGATTTTTTTTAAGCGCACTGTGGAAGATTCTTTTCGAAGGTATCATGGGAAAGCGCGAATGGGTACGTAGTAACTTAGCATTTTAACATTAATACGGCACAACTAAATAACTGCGGCAGGGTAGCGAGAATTCCATCGTCTCGCTCGATCAGTCGTTGCTGACGTCTGTGCGGCTGGTGGTGAAGTCATAGGCCTCGAGCTTGACGACCAAAACGGTGATGTTGTCGGTGGTATGGCGGTCCAGCGCTAGCGCGATGAGTGCGTCCGCTGCGGCCTGTGGGTCCTTGAAACGAGAGGCAAGTTGCGCTGCCTGCTTGTTGGTGACGACATCCCACAGTCCGTCCGTCGCCAAGATGAGGAAGCGGTCGTTCTTGGAGATCTTGCGGGTCTGCACCTCAGGATCGCACGAGATATAGGACTTCAGCGACACATCGCCAATGGAGCGCGACACAGCCAACTGGCCGTTCACACGTGGGACGTCGAGCATCTTCTTGAACGGCCACACTTTGTACATGAAGTCGGGCTTGCCTGTGATGAAGGCTCCCTTGGCTTCCAGACGTTCGCGTTCGTCCTTGCGGTTGGGTTTCTGGTCGTCGGACATGGCGATGGCGTCACCATTGCGGGTGACCACCACGGCACGGGAGTCGCCGACGTTACCGACGTGTAAGAGGCCGTCGCGTACGATGGCAACAAGTAATGTGGAGCCGTCGTCGGTAGCGAACGAGCGGCCATGACTCCGTCGTGCAGCGGAGGCAATTGCAGAGCTCGAAGCGTGGCGAGCGATGTTGCAGAAATCAGCATCTGGCAAAGACAAACAGGAGCTGTTAGCTATCAAAATATTGGATTTTTTTTGAAATGTGGAGACGTACCGAGTGCTCGAACGGCGTTGGTGATGGCGTCGTTGACGGTGGATTCCTGTGCAAGCTGTTCGAGAATGCGAGGGAAAATATTCTCGGCGCAGAAGCGCGAGGCGCGGTCGCCAGCGTGGCCGTCGAAGATGCCGAAGCAGCCGCTGGCCGAGCTGGTGTATCCGTTGAGTGTGAGCCTCTCTACGACTTTGCCCCCGATGAAGTATGCGTCCTGTTGGGTGTCAAAAATTGCATCAGAAATCAGCACTGGGTTGCGGAGAACGAAATTTGAAGTATATTCTATGAAGAGGACGTACCTCCTGGTTGAGTTTGCCGCCGCGGTCGGTGGCGATGCCGACAGGTACGTCGTACAAGTCATCGGTCTCGAGCTGCTTGGAGGCGGGGCTGATAGCCGTGAACTCGTCGGATTTGGAGGACGTGGGTTGTTTCCGTTTGTGGTGGAGCTGGACTCCGGTCATGGATGAAATAGTGAGTGTGGGCTGTGTGTCTTTGTGTTCTTCTCGGTGCGATGGATATGTGCACTAGGGCGCTAATTGCGTAATGACCCTCGACATGTCAGTGGGGTTTCCGGCCCGTCGCTGCGCCCGTGATGACGGCTCGGGGCTTTGTGGCCGATGGCGACGTTTCGTACTGGACTTTATTGCCATAGTGAACGCCATACAAGACAGCCCCGTCGTAAAGGTAGGAAAATGCTGCTGGACGCTTACCATCCCAGAGGCAAGAGCGGAGAGAGCGCTGCTCTACATGTGCCGGTAGCATTGGAAACTCCATTGGAATGGCATGCAATATTGCTTGCCATGGAGCGATGATTTAGACCTCGAAACCCTGTCCTAGTACTGGCGCAAGAGTACTCTCGCTGTGCCGGGCGATGGCGTTGGAGCGGTGCGCTTCCGGCAGTGCCATGAAATCCAACCACTAGGCAGCAGGAATCTTGAGATACGCTTCTGTAGCAGTCAGCGCGACGCGGAATCATCCGGCACGGCGACTGGACACGCGTGTGCAGGGAAGGCACTGCTCCGCCCAGACAGCACGCGTGCTGGTGGTGACCAGCGTCCCGGAGCACGTCTCGAGGCAGACGAAGCGGTCATGCCAATCTCTCGCCGAGCTCCAAATTTCAGTGTGTTTTTTAATCGGCGTTCCGACGACCGTCACTCTTGCCGACATTATGCAAGTCGCAGCGGCCCCGAAAAATGTGACGAACTGGGACTTTTCCTACGGGTCTCCGCGGAGCTTATCGCTGCTCTGGAATTTTTCTTTCCTCGTGGTGCTCGAGGTGATATTTCGGCACGCATTCATCGCAGATCTGCCTCCGCTGCCCAGAGGGTGACTTTGACTTGGCCACCAACACTCCCAAGTGAACGCGAAATCATGGACGGTCGCTGTAGCCCTTTGTCACAACTGCAACTGCGTGGGAACATCGTAAACACGAGGGAAGAATCTTCTGAAGATCGCTGGTCTTAATACATGTGCATGTACGGCGATGATGAAGGCGTTGTTGCTGCCAATGTTGGTCTCGCGGTTAGATCTTGAAGTCATTTACCGGCCGATCTAAATAAGGGAACTTCCGGCTGGTGTATGCCTGCGTTACTCTTACCTGCCGTCTAAGGCAACAGCCTTGTGCTGTAGCTACTGCTGCTGCCAGCATCTCCTGCCAGCACAGCACGACATTTTAGCTTCGGACTGTGATGTGTATCGATTCACTGTTCTTCACGCCACTTTTAGCGTGTCAAGGTCACTATTAATACAGACACATGGGTACAAACATCGGTTTAGACGGGTGAAAATTGTCAAATTCTCATTTGGCAAAATAATGGCGTCGTTCGATGACTTGGCGTTCACAGGACCACCTGCCGCCGATGTACGCAGCCAGCATCAACGCGATCGAGCTCCCACGCTAACAACAACCGGTACTCATTGTGCTATCACTGTGCAGACTGCAGCGGCTTCGACGGCCACAATTGTTGAGCTCTTCTGCAGAGATTGCAACGAGATTCCTCAATCCACGACCGCAGGTGAGGGAAATAGGATTGCGCTACGAGCTGCTTCGAGGGCGGAGTATTAACCGCTGATTCTACGTTGACTCAACGCTGCAGATGGTAAACGCTGCTTGATCTGTGGCTGTGAGTTGGAGCGCCGGCAGCAGGTACGACTGGAGAGTGCTTCCTGCAGCCTCTTCGAAGACGGTGTGCTATTCTAACCAGATACGTTGACACTTGTGTAGACCATACCTGGCGCGATGTTTGCCGCCTCCGAGACGAGTGTTCAGGAGCTGCAGGCGATGGTGATGCGCTTATTGACAGAGATCGGCAACGACTGGAACGGAGGAGGAGATACAGGAGCGCGTCGTCCTGCGTCTGACGAGGCTGGTGAGGAAAGCTATGCTGCTGTTGGTTACTCAATTGGAATTGTTAGTGACTGTGCGTATCGCTGACAACAGTGAGGAATTTGGGGTCGTTCACTGCCGACCAGGCGTCGACGATTGAAGTGGCCGTCGTCGTGGAAGGGATCAAGGGCGAGGTGAGATCTCGAATGCTGCGTGAAAGAATAGATTATGAAGCCGACGATATTTACACGCCATGCACATGTTTCGCTGCACTTTGATGGTTTTTTTGGATAGGTGATCGCTATCCCCGGCAACTTTGGCCCGTGTGAGTCACTCCAGAAGTGCAGCGTGGTCATTGCTGACCCTTTCGACGGCGCCAAACCCTTTCAGAATGCCAATGAAATGAAAAACAAGGTGGGAGATATTGAAGTCGGTGCTTCGAAAGCTCGAGTCGCTTATCGTATCTGTTTACACTATGATGCAGATCGTGGTGATGACACGCGGAGGCTGCACGTTTGCGCAGAAGGTTCTTCGAGCTCAAGCTGCGGGTGCTGCAGGAGTGATTATCATCCAGACTGTCGATGTGTGGCCGTATACGATGACGGATTCCACCGGAGAAAGCAAGGACGTAACGATCCCCGCGTTCATGATGAGCGCGAAGGTTGGCAAAGGGTAAACTCAAGCAATACTGCACACGACAGTTTGTTCGCATGAGCTTTATCTAACCAGGTCGTTTTGCACGTAGATTTGTGGAGTTTATCCGAGCTAAGCGTGACGAGAGTGTTTCAGCCGATATCATTGTGCGGAAGGACGCTCGTGAATGTGTTATCTGCCAGGTGGAGATGTCCATCGGCATGAAAGTCACGCGGATGCCATGCCAGGTACGGATTATTGCTAGAATTTGTTTCATTTCTCTCACTTCACATTTGCGTCCTGTTTTCTTCAACACAGCACATGTTCCATACAGGGTGTCTGCACGAGTGGCTGCAGATCGGCAACTCGTGTCCAATTTGCCGTGTTGAGATCGCGGCCAAACGCACGACTCATAACAGTTCATCCACCTCTCAGAACGCGCAGCAACGTGGTGACTTTGCTTGGAGCGAATGGTTTTCCTGAACTGATGGAGTCCTAGCAATTAATTTTGAAACCAATTCCGAGTGAAATAATATATTGCGCTTTAAAAAAAATTGACTTTTTTGAGTTGGTTCCGGATAACCCAAATAATTCTGTTAAAGATGTAACTTACCGCGACGATTGAGTGTTGCACCCGTTGGTCACTACACATTCCAGAGGAAACGACTGCCTTGATCATCCTTCTCCTATTCTCAGTCTTCTGGCCATCGTGGATGGTGCAGGACATCGGAGCAGCGTCGTTGCTGCTGACTGATATCAACGAGACTTACAGCGACTCAGGCTCGGGGAGTACCCTCACTGCTGGACGCATGACGGACATGTCGACGCACCAACGACACAGTAAGTTCGTGGAAGAAATGGCAAATCAGAGCACACACACACTGACGATTCTTTCGCGACAGGCATCGAGTTCTATCTCTACGTGTTCCTGGGCGTCGTCATCGCGCTGGCTGGTGGATCCGTGATGCTTTACTGTCTCCACCAGCGTCGGATGCAGCGATTCGAGCACCACGACAACGCCAACAACAACATGCAGCGACATTTACTCGAGGACAGTATCATCCAGGATGGACAGGAAGAGTGGCAGTGTTCTGTGTGCTATCATGAAAACCATCCTGCCAAAAGGGAGTGCCTCATGTGCGGTACTCCGGAAGGTACGGCAACGGCGGAGACCTTTGTGATTCTTGTGTTAATAATTGTTTATTTAATTCAGTTATCTCACAAGGAGTGGCGATGTTGCCGCCACCTATTGGCAAGCAACCGAGAAAGTCCTTCCAGCTGCTCACAAGCGAGTCGACAGAGTCACAGGCGGAGCTCGCAGCACGGAATCGTTCATTCCATGTTCGACGTCTCAATGAGATGAATCTAAACCAAAGACAGCGAGGCGCACGACGACGCCACTTGTGGCAGCGTGAGAGAACATCTGATGGTCAGTTCCGCTGGGTTCGAGTAGGCCATTGCCAACCATCTCGGATCAGTCAGTTAGCCTCGAATATCCGTGCAAGTTTACCTACTTCACTGCTACCTGCAGCTGGGACGGAGAACGAGCGAGTGTCGGCGCCTGCAGCCTACACTTTTGATGAAGAATCTCATAGTCCTACCAGCCCGATATCACTCACAAGGACTAGCCAAGGACTCAACAGGGAAGACCTGGGCGTGGAAACGGAGCTAACTATGGTTGAGTCTACACATGCTGACGGGGCCTATTCACCTGCCATCCGCAAGAACGTCCGCGGTTGTCGAAGTCCAGTCAACTGCGACGATCTCACAGCATCAGCAGTAAGCACAGACGACGGACTGATAGCTCAGCCGTCCGTCGGCTACGTACGACACGTGAACGAACACGGTCATGCTGAATGGGTGGCTGCAGACTCGCTGGTACATGAGCGAGCGGCAATGACGGCGATCGATATTGAGGAATTCCCACGAGCCACCAGCTACATCGACTTCGAATCGGTCGCAGCTCTCCCATTCAAGGCAAAGGTGCGCTGGTTTCTCAAAGAACTGGGCAAGGTAGCTGTCCCATGGGATGAAGGTCATTTGCTCTTAAAAATCCGTCGTGAAGCAGTGTTGAGTGAGTCCATGCACTTGCTCATGCTGGTCCCAGCTGCTGATCTTAGACAGCGTTTGCGGATCGAGTTCATCGATGAACCCGGGTTAGATGCAGGCGGTCTGTTACGCGAGTGGGTTCTGCTTCTGTGCGAGCAGCTCTTTGACGAGAGCTATGGACTATTCCAGCGGACACACGCCGATCAATCTGGCTACTGGATCAACCCGAACTCCCGTGACATCCACCGCGATCACCTGCATTGCTTCCAGTTCGTTGGCCGATTACTGGCGAAATGTCTGCTGGAAGGACAGTTATTGACGGTGCATCTAGCACTGCCGCTGCTCAAGCACCTGCTGGGCGTGCCAATCTCCTTCTCTGACCTCGAATTCCTGGACGCAGAGCTCCATCGTCATGCTCTGTGGCTTAGAGAAAATGAGGGAGTCGAAGCGCTAGCACTTGACTTCACAGCGCAGCGACAGGGAACTGATGGAGCCATCATCACGGAGGAGCTCAAACCAGGCGGCAAAGATATTCCTGTGACGGACGCCAATAAGGAAGAGTATCTGACGCTGCTGCTCAAGCACAAGATGTTTGGCGCGGTACGTGAGCAGCTCGAGGCAATGCTTCAAGGGCTGTACGACGTTCTGCCACGCACACTTCTGGCGGTTTTCGACTACCAAGAACTGGAGCTGCTTGTGTGTGGAGTACCGTCAATCGATATGGCCGACTGGGAATCTCACACCGACGTCCGCTACATGCGTGCCGAGCAGGGGCTTAACAGACCGGCGGCCTCAGAACGCCAAGTCGTCAAGTGGTTCTGGGAAGCTGTGCGTGCTTTCTCGCAGGAGGAACGTGCTCGTCTTCTCCAGTTCGTTACCGGTACATCTCGAGTGCCAGCTGAAGGATTCCGAGCACTACTAAGCCACGACGGCCGCATCCGCCGCTTTGGGCTTCAGATGGTGGCAATTGGAGCTCCTCCAGCTGGACTCTACCCGAAAGCTCACACGTGCTTCAACCGCCTGGACCTGCCTGTCTATCGCTCTTACGAAGAGCTTGTCACGTACCTTACGCTCGTCATTAACATGGAGATCACCGGATTCACCATGCAGTAAAAGAAAAACAAATATTTCCAGCCCATGTCGAGATGAACGTACATGTATCGATATATCTATATGCTGTGCCATTCGCAGCTGCTTAGTTGTTGACCGAGAACTTGTGGCCGCACTTCTTACACTCGTAGAAGACCGTCTGACCCTCATCGGCCGAGCGGAGCTGCAGCGTGTAGTAGTCCATCTCCGGGTTGCCACACTTGGGACACGTCTCCTCCACTGTGGCGCGGGCGGGGCCCGTGACTTCGCTCATGACCTTCTCGGCATCCAGCCACTTGGGTGTCGGCTTGTCCTCGCTGCGGGTCACAACGGTCAGCGACGGCAGGTCTGCACAATAGGCGGCGGTTAAAACTGTGTCAATTGTTCGTGTCAGAGGATGGCTGCAGCGACGCACCTTGGTAGCGGCAGCGGTATTCGCACGCGGAGCACACGATGCTGTTGGTGTCCGGGTGGTCCAATATGGTGCCGCAGTGCGGGCAGAAGGCAGGGCCCGTCGATGTGGCGCTAGAGGCGAAGAACTCCGTCGACATGGCTGCAGAAGTGTTAATGTGTCAATGGCATTAACTCAATGTCTTTTCAGCCAACCGATGGGAGCAATACGAATGTCTATTTGTCGTTTCAGATCTAAATTTCAGGATGAATCGAATATTGTTTATTACAAAAAAAATAATTGCTTATATTTTGGTGTTATTTAATATTTGCAAAATATAAAATATCGAAATATCACTTGAAAAGCAATGGTCGATTATAAACAGACCAAAATGGGAAACAAAGTCAAAAGCGGTGCAAGACTCTTGCACCGCTTTTTTTTTTTCAAAACAATGTGTTTTTCTGGTCACGTATTTTTGGCAAAATTAGAATAAAAACAACCGGACCAAAACACTAAAGCAAAGTGAAAAATACTTTTACCATAAATAGCTTTTTCATGACAAAAAAATCTTTTTCATTTTAAAGTAACTTTAATAAAAACCATAAGAACACCGACCATCCATGGCGCCGCCACCGCCACCCGGGCCTCCCGCGCCGTCGTCGCCTCCACCACCGCCACCATCACATTCTGCAGCGTCTCCGGCGTCTTCTGCCTCCAAGAGACCTTCCAAATCCGCTACAAAGGCCCGAAGAACAGCTCGTACGCCTCCCGGTGTCCCACTTCCTACTCCAGACAAGCCTAAGAGCAACCACAGCTCCAGTTTCTCGTCTCCATTGCCTCCATGTCCCGAAGATCCGCCCGCTCCGCCTCCTCCGTCCTGTACACCGCCCAAATACCGCCCATTGGAGGAAAACGACGACGATACGCGCAGTGTAGAGAGCGCAGACGAACCAGCAGAGCCTCAGAGCTTCCCGACGCCGCCACCACCGCCTTCTCCACCTGTTACGAGTCCACTAGGCACACCGCCGCCACCTCCGCCGCCTCCATTTTCCCCTCCCAACGCTAAGATCGCTATAGACTTGTCTGGAGCCCTTGAGAACGCTGTGCAGGCTACTGAACAGACTAAGATGCCTCCACCGCCCCCTAAAGAGAGGCAGGAGAGTGAAGGAGAAGACGGAGACGACGAACAGGAGGAAACTGGCAGTTCTACGGACCTCACAGCGCTGGCGGACGCCTCGTCGTCGTCGGTTATTGCGTCTATGCGAAGTGCAGTAAGAGAACGGGAGATCATGGCGACGGAGACAGTGAGGGAAGAGCCGACCAAGAAACCCAGATTTTATATCGGAGATATTGACAACTACAGTATTATTGACAAGGTTGGATCGGGTACATACGGGTTCGTCGTGTTATTGTTCTGTATCGAGAGGGTTACTGCTGACTGAGATGTTGTACGTGTAGTGAGGTGTTCAAGTGTCAACATAAAGTGACGAAGGATATTGTGGCACTCAAGAAACTGCGACCAGATGTCGAGAAGAACGGAGTACGTGCAGGACTTGATGCCAGCTTGGGTGAAGAACTTAACGGTCTTTGCTGTGCTGTAGTTTCCTGTGACTTCTATCCGCGAGATGAAGATCCTCAAGTACCTCAAACACCCAAACATATTGGAGCTGAAGGAGATCGTCTCGTCAAGTGGTAAGTTAACTAGCTTTTTATCTACGAGTAATAGTAGATCTCAACGAAAAGCTTTATTCGACATATTGCAGCCCCGCCTAAGGAAGGCAAGAGACCGCCGTTGTATTTCGCGTTCGAGTACATGGAACACGATCTCTCTGGGTTATTGAACCATCCACGCGTGAAGTTCACGCGTACACAGATTCAGTGTTATATGCGGCAACTGCTGACGGGAATCGCGTTCATGCACCGCAACAAGATCATCCATCGCGATATTAAGGCTTCCAACTTGCTGCTGAACAACCAAGGCATGCTGAAGGTCGGTGATTTCGGCCTCTCTAGGTTCTGGAACGAAGTGAACGCAAAGGCTGGAAGGTACACCAACAAGGTCGTCACGCTGTGGTACCGACCGCCAGAACTGCTTATGGGCTCAACGTCCTACGATTTCTCGGTGGATGTCTGGTCGATCGGCTGCATCTTCGGCGAGCTGCTGTTGGGGAAACCTATTCTACAGGGCAAGACTGAGATCGAGCAGGTTCGTTATCTTTGATATAGTTTCAAGGCCTCCAGTGATACTTACACTGTGTCGTTATGCTCTGTGTTGGTGCAGCTCCAATTGATATTTGGACTTTGTGGCATGCCGACGGAGGAAACGTGGCCTGGATTCTTTAAACTACCGGGAGCCGAGAGCTTCCAAATGGATGACAAGTTCGTCTGCCCTTTGCGTGAGAGATTCAAAAAGTAGTTCTGCTCTATTAGAGAATGCGATGCTGCAATCGTGGACTAATTTTTATCGTGTTTTTTCGTGTAGTTTCCCGCCGCATGCAGTCGATTTACTCGAAAAGTTATTGCAGCTTGACCCTGCCAAGCGCATCACAGCCGCAGAAGCCATGGACCACGACTACTTCTGGCGTGTACAAACATGCAAACCGCGAGAGTAAGTTGCTATCTGTTAGAACCGCAGATTTATTGTAGCTAACCATTGATCGCTGCTGTTACAGTCTGCCGAAGTTTAGTGTGTCATCTACGCATGAATATCAATCCAAGAAGCGTCACCACGAAGAGATGGCAGCAGCAGCAGCAGCGAACGGAGGCAACGCGAAGAACAGCGACCAGCATCGGTATATGCGTCAACGAGGCGAGCGTAGCGGATATCGCGAGAGGAACGACCACTACCGTAGCGGAGGCCACCACAGCCGCTCGGATCGTAGCAGACCTTACCGCTCTCATCGCCCCAACAGCGACTACTACGACCGAGATCGTGACCGCGATCGTAGCCGTAGTCGGAGTCGAGAGCGTCATCAAGACCGGGACCGCCGAGACCGAGAACGCGAGCGCTAACGTGACAAGTAGGAAACCATCAATAGTGATCATTATACAGCGCACTCGTGCGCATAAGGGAAGCAAATTTCCATTCGACTGCAGCGTGTTACTTTTTCGTGTTGTAGAAATAGGGACTACAGCAACAAATTCGCCTAACTAGAGGCGATCCCTTGGTAAAGGCAATGGCTATTATAATAGGCACTCGATTTTCCATCCGGTATTGAGAATCCAGCATCGATGAGTCTAACAAATCGACAAACAATAATTTTCAAGTCGGAGCGACGTATACATGGAGGCGTGCATTCCATTGCACAAGACTGTGCGCTCGACGCCGTACACGAGATGCCAGGGACGACTGCGCAAGCGACCGAACCATGAGCTCGAGTATTTGCGGCAGCAGGTGGTCGACCTAGAGGAAGAGCTGGAAGTGTTGCGTCAACCTGACATCGACCGTCGAGTTAAAACTCAGTGACGGCGACACCTGGGAAAGCCTTGCCGAGAAGCAGAGTGCAAAAGCCAATTCTGTGTTGATGGAGAATGTGGAGCTTCATACCGCTTTAGAAGGACAGCTACGCGTGGCAAGAGCACTAGAAAATGTCATCGACCACCACTGGAGGAAATCCAGTCAGGAGATACGCTGGTTTACCGGCGATGCGGAGCGACCTCGGCCTTCGGATTTATCTGATGAGTTGCTCTACGCTTTACTTGAAGAGGACATGGGAAATCAATACGCTGCGGTGGATAACGTACTGGAAGCCAGCGCAATCTCGCGCGTAAACTGCGAGTTGAATCCACAGCTCCAGGTGAAGCGTAATGCGGATGGTGTGTCTTTCCACCTCCACGAGGTGCATTTGCTGCCGTTCTCCGTTCCAAGTGTAACTCACGCACTGCACAACTCGCTCAGCCACGGAGACGCGGGACGTCCGATGACACGTTGTCGAAGGCTCTGGAAGAGTGACAACTGTCTACGGGCCACTACTGTCACTACACTAAATCTACCAAATGCACGGCAAGTGGAGGTCACAACGAGACTTGTTCAGCGGAGTATCCCTGAACCAACCCGCACAGTTAACGTGTGGGCTGCGTACGTTGAGATCCAAGGCTCCATGTTCGTCCGCCTCGAAGAAAAAGGGTGGATTGTGTTAGAACCTCATCATTTCAAGAAGAATGGCTACAGCGCGAAAGCACTGGGTACCACATTACGAACTGCTATCCGCGTGAATCCTGTCATGCAGTTCTACTCCGAGGAAGACGAGAAGCAGCACGTTGACGAGATGACGGAAATTGTCATGGACACATACAACTGCAACTTCGGACTGCTCTACCAAGTCCTGGAGAACCTCATGCTAGACAATGCCATGAATAAAAAGAGGCACTAGACCACAAGCAAGTGGTAACCACAGACTTTGGTTCGAAGCCACTGTATCCCATCCCTGACACGAGTGTGTGTGTCCATCATCCCCATAATCAGCCATGGTGCACATAATCCTAATACCGCGATGACTCTCATCTTCATATCCAGTGGATCTTATTGAAATTAGCAGTAGTATGTTATTTGGGTAGAATTTAACCAGCACTTTTGCATTTCGATGCATTCATTTTAGAAGGATTACTACATTATAAGATGGGTAATTATTATATAGGCACCTATATGATTCCTCGCAGCGTTGACGTCATTCGTCAATTGCTCGTGTCCCTACGATGCAAGTGGTGCGCAACTTCCTGTCTCGCGAGCTGCTCGCAGCATGTTTCTTCGTCATGCTCTTGTCCTCAGCCCTGGACCAGTATCCGGGCGAGGTGGAGCCGCAGCCATTGGACTACGCATACGATCTGCGCACCAGTCAGCAGGAGGCTCGCTACAATGAGACCAAAGCGCTGGTGAGCAACACGGAGCTGTTCGAGGCTCCACACGCCGAGAGCCTCTTCCTCGGCCAGGCGCTAAGCGCTGAAGACCTGGCAGTGAGTCAGGACGGAGTCGCATACGTCGGACTGGCCGACGGTCGTCTCGCGAGCTTCAGCGCCGCAGCGGACGAGCTCCGTAACTTCTCCAGGACCGGCCGCGATCTGCCCGAATGCGGCGCTTTGGACATGGAGCCAACGTGCGGGCGTCCGCTCGGTCTCGCGTTTGCACCGGCGAAGCCATTCGCCAAGTTCCTTAAGAGGATCCCAGACGCTAAGACGTTCACTGGCGACCAGGTGCTTCTGGTAGCCGACGCATACAAAGGTTTGCTACTGTTCGAGGCCAGTGGCAAACGCACGCTGCTATTCAGTCGCGTCGGAGAAGAACACACCAATTTCTTGAATGGAATCGCAGTCGTGCACGAGACTGGAGAAGTGTACGTGACGGAGTCTTCACGTCGCTTCCAACGCAACCGCGTAGTGATGGAGTTCCTGGAACGGATGCCTACGGGTTACTTGCTGCACTTTGATCCGAGGACTGAAAGGGTTAATGTGTTGGCTGGGAGTCTGGGATTCCCTAACGGCCTGACTCTGGATAAGGATGGCTCTGGTCTCCTTATTGCGATCATGTTCCAGAGTAAAATTGTGCGTTATGACTTTAAAACGAAGCAGATCAAAGACTTTGCCTTCTTGCCTGGCGAACCGGACAATATCTCGATCGAGAAGGTTGGCGCCGGTGAGAATGAGACGGAAGTGTTGATGGTGGGGATGGTGTCGCACAACAACGGAGGCATCTTCCACCACATGAAGCAGAGCGTCAAGATGCGCAAGATTCTGTCGCTACTCCCGACGTGGATGACGGTGATCTTCGTGCATCGTCTTGGGCTGTTTGCTTCCGTGGACTTGGAGACGGGCGACATCCGTCACGTGTACGAGGCTTCGCAGGGCCAGACGCCGATTGTTTCGGGCGCTGCTCGCTTTGGTGACCACATTTACCTGACGAGTTGGGCTCGTCCCTCGATCACGCGTATCCCGGCAGCTCTGGTGCAGTAGATAACTCAAGTCTAACGCTGTTGCACTGATAAGCTGAAACGACCTCCAATGTGAATTTTGTTGGCTCATTCTTTGGTTTTGTTAAATTACGATACATTCATTACACCGAACAACACCTAAAACGACGAAGCTATGATGATAGCTATTTACACGAAGAGTAACTCGGCTGGAACCACCGTGCCGTCAACTTTTTGTGCTTTGAGGCGTACGTGCTCATCGATCGCATCTTGGAGTGCCTTCACCACTTGGAAACGAGCAGCCACCATCGAGCGCAGGTTTCGATTCTCTGCCTGTGCAGCGCTAAGTTTTTTATCGGTGTGGTTGTCGAGAGGATCATTCAGGTGGAACGGCTTCGTGTCAGGATTGGTCAATGCGGCTTTCAGTTTCTGCAGCTCAACAAGCTGACCTCGTAGGTATTTGATCTCGTCACTAGGACGCTTGCGCCACCGCGTCTTGGATCGGGTATACGGGAACGGACGCCCTCCTCTGTCGAAGTGCTCTTTCCGCGAGTAGTAAGGGGATACTGGTTGTTCGAACAGGCTTAGGAGATCACTGTCGCTATCGATTGATCCGTCCGACTCGGCAATTGAGGCGTTGTTTGGAGATTGAACTGTTCCATCAAAACCGTTCCAGTCCGGTTGTTCTTGATGGAGATTCCAGGGCTTTTGCTGGGTATTCATCACGACGCGGACAGTTTGAGAATGAGCAGACATTAGTCCTAGTTCGTCAACGAGAGCACCTACACTTTGAGGGAACCATATTGGTCTCGCTTGCATTGATGTCAATCGCCATAAGGGACGTAAAGGCAAAGATCTTCAATACAGTTACTTGAAAGCATACACAAGTTCACAAAGGTCCCCACATGTTCGTATTGACTAAAGAAACGCCACGTGCTCCATGTGCATGTACAACCATCGGGTAAAACATACATTGACCGCAAACACACTTACATACTACTTCACATACGAAGTGCAGTAGTAACTAAGCGTGTTTGCGGTCAATGTATGTTTCCTAAGTTCGTGGTAATAATTCATAGAGCGTAGCGTTTGTTCGCGGATGCCGATGTGAACTTGCACAATCCTCGCAGATGCAGACCATCGTTTTCGCCAGTATCGCTACCGGATAAGAAACAACATGTACCTTGACTTTGATGTGATCGAGGTTGGATGTCCGCTGGATCAGGAAACGAACTAATACACGTAACAAAGCGATATAATAGACTATCCACACGAAAGGACGGATGTAGACGGATATCTTCTGCATAATTCCAACGTGTCGACTGGAGACTGGAACCAGGCGACGGAGAGTTGCCACTGTTTCGTATCCAGTATTGACTTATTTTTCTCTAGGTAATCGGTTAAAAGGGCGCCTCTACCTGAAACAAGCTGGTTTGTTTAATGATAAAGAGTTTCTAACAGGAAATGGCTAGGCCACGAGTCCATGATACTTACGGATACGGTGTAAAAACGAAATGAGGGTTGCCTCTAAGTGCACTCTGCCTCGTTTTAGAAAAAGGTTAAAATGTGTTACAATAACATCTACGAGTTGGCCGTATCGTAGTAGGATACTTCACCCCACAAGACACTACACTAGCAATTACAATATCTTGTCGCTGTCTCAAACGACAAAGCTAAATGTCAAATTAGAATTGCTCATCAAAAGCGGGTATCCGTGCCATGACGCATTTTTTTTTTTTTTTCACTAAGCTTAAGTTCCGGTGCAGTAGCAACAACTCAGGTTTTGCTGCTCTGATCTCTATTTAATCCTTCCCTTCTAAAACGCAAACAAACATCACACCGAGTATAGAGAAGCATATCGCCTTCACATTTTCAAACACGCATGCAATCGCTCAACTGCTCGAGCATCGCCTGGTACATTCGCTGTCCGTGGCGTTGATACGTGCCAACGACGACATTTGTCATCTCCTCAATATCCTCTGGTTTCTGTGGATCCAATTCAGTCTCGACAGGAGTCAAGCGAACAACCACCCGCATCAACGTTCCGTCGGTCCTACCTCCCATTGCGGGCATCCCGAGTGTGTCCGTCGGAACAGGTTCTAGGACGATCCACGTTTTCTCAAGTAGGCGAACGAACTTTGCGCCATTGTACTCGACGTAGCCCGACCAGGTCACCACAGTGCGTTCTGGCTGAACCACGCACAACTGAAGTACTCTGGAGTTCACCTCAGCAGATTGAGC